ATTGATGAAAAAATTCAATTCACGATGGAAGTAGAAGAAGGTGAGCGGTTACCGTTCCTGGACGTTGAAGCGATTCGTTCTAATGGAACGCTCAAAAAGAAATTGTTCACAAAGAAGTTCTATGTTGGGATAATACTCAATTTCCGGTCCCATCACAAGTACAGGCTAGTGTAACCGTTTCCAGCAGAACGGTTGTCGAGGGATTGATGTAACTTGTCTCTTTGACGAGTTCGCAGCTTGGAAAGGAGAATGGCAAAGCTCACTGATGATGCCGACTACGAGGCTGGCGAAACGTCTGAGAATGTATCAAGTCCACTGTCGGATGCTGAGAATCCAGACAACTACTAGGACAGACGATTTCGGACTCGGTGCGTTCTACATAGTCTCCCTGAACACAAGACCAAGTTGCGACAACGAAGTCAACCCACTTCAGCAAGTATTAAGTTTTCTGGAAAAGCACAGCAACAGGATTATGACAACAAGTGGTCCAGTGATCAACAAATGTCCCTCCTTTAAGCCGATCGGCAGAAGCCTCGAAGGTTTCCTTCGTGTTGAATGTTTTCCTGACCACAGAATGCCTCATTCGAGGCCATTATGAGCTTCGGATCCAAGTGCGATAGTCAAACACTTGGCATGGATGCGTTGTTACCGCAAAAGATGTTTTCGCCCAAACCAATTCAGAACTGCAGGGCACTACGATTTGAACCATTTAGGCATCACTTATACTCATCTTGTCTCACGAATTAAAGGGTCCAACATTTTCAAGAGCCTTCTCGAACTTCGACTTTAATTGAGTATTGTATCTAAGATGGTTTCCAAGTTGCTACGAAGGATGCCTTTTGAGACAATTCAGAAAGTACTGGGTATTCTTGGTAAGCAGATCTACCAGTTGCCATCAACAGAGAGCCCACCCTTACCATTGGCAAAGGTCTCAAAGCTTCCCGTTTCTCAGAAAGTTCTCTTTACTGCTGCTTATTCTTCGTAAAAATAAGCTCGTTCATTTTATTGGTGCGTCTTCAATCCTGCCTACACTTTTGGTCTGTCCATTTCTGTTTCGGACAGACTTCATTGAATCGCTTCGGTTGAATGCATTTAACCGAATCCGCCCACTTCTGCCGGTTAAGTCAACCCGAGCTGGGTTGTCCTTCGCTTCGTTTGGCACGTTTAGATGGTGGCTGTCGGCTAGTGAAGTCTGTACAGATGCCAAACCGAATCGACCATGTTTACGCTTGAGCCGCCTGGAACTGTATCGGTTGCGTGGGTGAAAGGTGACTACCGAAAAAGATGATGAGAAGGACAGATGAGGTCGCAAAGGCCACAATAAAGAGAAGATATGTGTGGGTGATATGAAGGAAAGAAAGACAGACAGGGTAGAGGAAATACTTCTTTCTGTATGTGTCGAAAGCTAATCTCTGGATAAATTTCCCGGGTAGGACGACCGTGCTCCTTATTTCTAAGTTTATGACGATTAACCCTACCTCGATTAATGGCTCAGTAACTAAAGGCCAGCCTTAGAAATGTTTCTGCATTTGACGCATAAAGGGAGAGCCAACAATAATTCTTTCTCCCTCCAAGTGGGGGGCAAGAGGGTGTTTGCATGACGAAGAGAGTGAGAAGAAAAGTGGGATCGGGAGAGATCCGCAGCGGGCAAAGATGGTACTAAAGGAGGAGGGGCTGGGTAGGCAATGAGGGCTGATCGGGATGGAAACCAGACGGCCGTAGTGAAGGCGCAAACCTGACCGGACACTTGAAAGTGGATAGTCATAGAAGCAAGAAGACCCCATTGTACTCTTGTAGATGTGCTCAAAGGCATGCTTACTCGCGAATTTGTGCTTGTGTATCCGCATGAAAGACGCACTTACGTTGGGGGTGGGCGAGAGCAGTGAAGAAATTGTTAAACATTCTGCAGTAAGTGGGGGTTTACCGTCGGAGCAGAAGACCTTTATTGAGTTCGGGTGTCCGGCTGATGTGTTTAGCCAAACAAAAGAAAATGAAAACCATCAAAATGTGTTTAGCACACGATATGGCCGGTGGACAATGGCGGTCGACATCATCATGGAAACAAGAGGGCTTTTAACTCTCAGCTTGCCGATTAGTTACACCGTCCGGATACAGCCGGACCTGGAGCACCCCTGGGATTCGCTGTTTGCACCAATCTCGTGTGCATCATTATGGCCTCACCTTTGAGGATAACAGACGGAATTCACTGTCATGCTGCCTGGTCTGAAGTGGCCGGGTCAAGCGAGTTGTGCTGTATCATGTGTAGACAGTTTACAACAGCCTTCCGACATGTTCTGCTCAGACTCACGCTTCTGTACTTTCAACCACTGCGACCCACTAAGAAGTAGGCTGCAGAGGAAGAGGGGGCACTTGGCGCCGAAGTGAGTGGTGTTCATTTAACATGAATAAGGATGTCTTGTAGTCTACTCAGCTCTCTTGAAACTGAGGCATCTGATGTTTTCTGCGCCGCCGGTGCTTGGTTAAGAAGAAGATGGTGATGATGATGATGATGGTGGTGATGATGATGATGATATTGAGGAGGTTGTAGATGAAGAAGAAAAAGAAGAAAAAACGTAAGCTGCTCTCATCTCAAAGGGTAGTTCAAGTAGACTGAGTTGATAGGGGAACAATTACAGAGCTGGAGAAAATTTCGACTATAGGGGTCGTTGCATTTGTCAAGTTGCCCAGATCCTAAGGGTAAGTAAGCAAGTTGAACTGTCACCAACACTTAAGATGAACCGCTTGGGAAGTTGGGATCACTCTTCCGTTTTACAGAAGAGGTGAAAACACTTGAAGCTCAACTCGAGCACCAACTTGTGGCTGTACGTAAGAGAGAAAGAAAGTATAATGGTCGGAAGTGCAACAGGAGTGGTCGGTTGGCTGCATTGTGGATGTGTTGTGAAAAATTTCATTTTGTATGAAATGTATGTATTGTAAAGGAATTCTAAGGTTGAGCTCATCACAGATTCGTGTTGTACCGCATCCGTTTGCCTTTAATACGACATTCAGATTGATGCAGTTCAAGAGACATCTTCCTTCATTTCAGGCGAATGCTGGCTCAACTGTATCGCGCTAACACTCATAAACACAGACAGACGATTGAGTAAAAGTCTTTCATAATTGTTATGTTTACTTCCAGTTCGAGTGAAGGTGTTAAGTGAAGAGATTCCAAGGTCGTAACATTTTTGCTGACGCTGTTTCCGAGGCAATCTCTTTCGATTCCGATAAAATGGTGCTAAGCTTTAGTCCGTCATATGACGAAGATCATCCTCGTCACAACCAAATTCAAGCTAACGGGACAGGAAGAATCACTGGCACATACCTTGAAAGCTGTATATATTTACTCTAGATCTGGCCTCTTTGATGAGGTATAAAGTGAGTTTTCTTGACTCGTTAGCTTGAATTTGGCTGTGTCGATGATACCTTGCTCTGAGGATGTTCGTCATATGACGGATGGAAGCTTAGCACCTATTCAGCGGAATCGAAGAAGATGGCCTTGGAAACAGCGTTCCAGTAAAGCCAATCGACAGCTGGTCAAGAGGAAGCCGCATCGCCTTCTGGTGGAATCGAACTTCGAATCTCTTCACCAAACACTTTCACTCAAAATGGAAGTAAGCTCAACAACTATGAAACAAGAGATTTCTCTAAACCCAACTTTTCTTCGCATAAAAGTGCTATGACCAATATGAAAGAACATTATTAGCTAAATCCTGAGGGTTTGGAAGAATCTCCTGAGATAAATTTGTTGTCAGCACTTTCATTTCGTATGGAAGTACATGAAGATATTTCTAGGTCAATCTCGCCAGAAGATACCGGCTGATTCGCGTTCGTCATGCAACGAACATCGTCAGAACTGGGACTCGTTCTTGCAAAAGCCTCAATTTAACATAAGTCAAGAATTCTGACTGGTTTTTTCCTATATAATATATTTATTTATTTATTTATTTAAGCTATAGATGGATAGAGAAGAGTGTGATTAATTCACGTATCCTCGAGTGTGCCTGTGTGTTGATGTCTGTATGTAAAACTGGAGTAATTAGAAAAAAATTTAACTTCAGCCATGGGTCATCGAAGCTGAATGTTTCAAAGAAAAAGGTATGACTAAAATTATATT